AGCGCAGGCTACATTGGACCCCTAGATCATGAAGAAGGTGTCCCCTACACTGGACCGGAATCTCCATCCCGATTGGGAACCACAAAAGTGATTATCAATGGCTGGTTGGCTCAAGCTCTTGCTTCTTGGTCACCACAGAAGCAGAACCAAAGCGAGGAGGGCCCACACCTTAGTTGTTCTATACCTTGCAGGATAAGGGTTCAAGTACCCAGGATTAATTAAGTGAAATATTAGCCCGAAAATGAAACTCTAACAGCTAGGTTTCGAGAGGGCTATATCGATCTCGAAAACAGGGGAAGAAAGGGAGGAAGGAATGAGATTCTTTATAGCCCTTTCCAGACAGACCTTATGTAATTTCCTTCGGTTGGGTTAGCTTTTTGGTAGGAAAGGCGGTAGTAGAGTTGCCTCAGGTCCTTCTGACTCTACTCTTTGTTTTCTAGGCGGGGATGCCCATTGTTCCCTGCTCTAGCTCCTCTGATTTCCCTTTGCTTTCTTTATTACTTCTCGCACGTGCCCAGTCTCAATGTCACTTCCCAAACCAAAACAACCTTTCTTTCCCAAATCTATGAACGGTGAAACGTTGAAGGTCCACAACAGGTAAGATAAATAAACAAGTTACTTTTGTATTGTATTCGAGTGAGGGCCGAAGCTCGTATGGATACATTACTTCATTGTTCTATGTTCTATGAGGTCTTGCACTAAGCACATACTCTCCGAGGGTCGCGAAGTGTAAAGATCCGGTCTTTGCCAACCGTCGTTAAGAACAACAAAATCAATTGTGTCTTTGACACTATAACTATAGGCGGGACCAGTTGTAGGATGATCGTCGAGTGGCGTTCTACTCGATTAGGCGAATGCGAGTGAGGGATAAGCTTTCCCTGTTCGCTAGGAGGGAAACTCGGGAAGAGTTCAGGCAGAAATAGATGGTTCAAACCCCTTTGGAAACTATTAGTCAAGCGTGCCATATATATTGAGGGACTCCATATCATTCATTATTAAAGCGACAAGGTAACCTTAATGAAAATCGATAAACGGGAGTTTCCTAATAATGAGCAATGTTGGTAACAACAAATGGTTCCTAACCTCATCAAAATCTGAGTATGGCATATCCGACGAGACGGCAAGACGCTTGGACAAGTAACGCGATGAACCGTACCTGTATCTCTAGGCGCTATTCTGTCTTATTATGTAGATCATGTCTTCCTTTTCGGGTTCCAAACCTCCCCCTTCTCTAATAGGGGAAAGTCAAGACCCACGTCTAGGGATATACAAGCTCCATTCTTCAGATGGATCGCTGTTCAATAGTGATTGTAGCCGGGATAAGCAGGCACGAACTTCTGTATAGCGCCGTAGTTTTGTTTGTTAGTACAAGTAGCTAAGAGGGCTGGGAAGTACGACTTGCGTCAAACTTGTGAAAGAATACTTGCAGCGCACCTGCTGAACAAGGCTCCTTGAAAGTCTTTTAGGGATTACCAGTTCCGGAGGGACCCACCATTGTACTTCTAGGGGAGGGTATAAGATAGCAGAAGGCCACGACTTTTGTGAGGGTTCCGCACAATACGGTCGGGTATGCCACCAACATAAATGAGGCACACAAGAAAGACTGGCACGATCTCGATTTAATGCCAGCCTGGAAGTGATTCGCTAAGTCGGGTAGCGACCACCTATTGTAGAATCGTCGATAACCTGGTTTTGCTATCATGTGTGTAAAGATTGACTACATAGGCATACTTTAACCGTTTGGCAAGTCAAGGGACCCGAAAATCCGCTCCTTAGCTATAACGTACCAAAGTCATGCAGAACAGACACTAACTGTTCGAACATTATGACTATTAATTAATTGGACCTTCAAGGAACGAATAGAGTACAAAAACGAAAGATGAGAGTAACCAAAAGAGCTAGGGATATTAATAAAGGCCGTAGTAAGGAGACTTTAAAAGACCTGTTAGAGTCAAGCCTCAACTTTCATAATGTGAGCTTCAATAGGATAAAAGAGCAATCTCAAGACTAGCTTTCCGAGACAATGTATATTGTGAAATGGTGGTGCTATAACAAATCTAAAGTACCTTAACTTGTGGTTGCCGCACAAAGAAAGCAAGTCACCTTAACCAGTCATACCCATTTATGGAGATATTCTGTATCTGAAGCTCAAATTAAAGCCATGAAACAAGCAGCTACTCCTACTGCAATTGCAATTGGTGGCTTCTTTTAAGCCAGCCCACCAAAGAATTCAACCTCGACTCCCCTCTACTAGAGAATCCATGAATTCCGAGCACCTTCAGTAGCAGCAAGAATGGGAAAGACAAATAACCAGCCAACTATGTATGCCTTCCTCTGATCTTCCTTATGGAATGGGTTCCTCCTTAGAATTAACGAGATCGTTAGTCTTGGATGAATCTTCTTGAAAGGGGTCGATTAACCCTAGAGGACTCGATGGCTTAACAGTCCAGTGAATAAGCTGATTTAGAGAGATAACTCGGGCTTTAGACACACGCCCTACTTCTAAATCTCGATATAAATGGGGAGTGCCAAATGCGGAATCAGTTCCAGTCCCAGCTGCTGAGGTGGCGTAGTGAGAGGTGAGAAGAATAACAAGAGAAGCAGCGGAAGATCCAGCAGTAGTATATTCGGTTGTTTGCGGTGGAATAGATTCAACAAGCGTCCGGGCTAGTAGATCTAGAGCAAATAGGCGTTGACTTAGTTGCTTTTGTAGTGGATTCTAATCCCGATGTTGATTCGAGGCAACTTACCGGTGATAGTCGCAGCACCAGGAGCTTTCAAGGGAGGCAGGCATGTATACCTCGATAGTAGCCGTGGCATACTTTCCGGATCGAGGGTCCCCCCGGTAAACACGGTACAGGAAAAATACCTGCGGGGGGAGGAGGCCCTTCTCACTTAAGCTCAAGCATTTACTCGTCTTGGGGCTAACGTGGGATCTGCTCAAGGACCTACCTACTGGTTTAGGTAAATATCTAATGGACTCCCTGACGGGAGAGGTCATTTTTTGAGGAGAAAGTATGCGCTTTTCTAAAATGGTCGGAAGAACGGGTTTCAAAATTCATTAATATATATTTATTACCGGTGGTTTTTATGCAAAAAAGATAAAACGGAATTGGATTTCCACTCATAAGAAAGGAAGGTTAGATACCTTTGACAGGGTTGTCTTTTTGGTTGAAATGGGATGGTGTTCAAACTCCCAAAATGCAGTCTAGACAGCGGGCCCTCCCCTTTCTGACTGGACTGACTCTCGGGGTCAATCTCCTCCGGAGCATGCTGCACAGCCACTCATTCGTCCTGACCAAATAGTCGAATCTATCTCTCAGCGATTCTTTTCGCCACTAAGAACCCCTTCCCAACCAGCCCGCCCAATCTATTTTGTAAGATCGGCTAATTCAAAGGGGTGAATCTGGTTCGAAGTTGTCGGATCGAATCGTTTGCTTTATCGAAACTTTATTAGGGGGTCTTGGTTAGCCCCCTATTTTCAACCATTACTGCAGGTGTCGACCAGCTTTGCGATACGGACGGACACAAAAAAGAACGTAGGCATCAGAAATGCAAAAGAGAAGAGAAAAGATTCCTGACCCAAAGCATGTTATTGACTCAACCACAAATCTGTTGAATGAAGGTAGCTTGCTTACTCTCAGCCGCTAGTTAGAAGGAAATCCGTTGACTTCGTTTATGCCCTTATGCAGTAAAGAAAGCAAGTGAGGCGAGCTAAGCTTCCATTCGAAGTAAGGTAAGAGGATTCGATCTTGCACCATCTTCAACTCTTCTCAGGATCCGGTGTTTTTCGAGAAAAGGTCTGATCCATTAATATCATGATTGGATCGCCCAAGCCAGATCTAGAGTGAAATATCATGATCGGGTCGACCATGCCAGATCTAGAGTGAATAGAAAATCGAAAACGTACATAGCAGTTCCAGCTGAAATACTTGGAATAATTATACCACTACTAGGAGTAGCCTTTTTAGTGGTAGCTAAACGTAAAGAAATGGCTTTTGTGCAACGTCGAAAGGGTCCTGATGTAGTGGGATCGTTCGAATTGTTACAACCTCTAGCAGATGGTTTGAAATTGATGATAAAAGAACCTCTTTCACCAAGTAGTGCTAATTTCTCCCTTTTTAGAATGGCTCCAGTGGCTACATTTATGTTAAGTCTGGTCGCTCGGGCTGTTGTACCTTTTGATCATGGTATGGTATTGTCAGATCCAAACATAGAGCTACTTTATTTGTTTGCCATATCTTCGCTAGGTGTTTATGGAATTATTATCGCAGGTTGGTCTAGTAATTAGGGGGCGGCCGTTTGGTCGCCTATGATACTAGGACCAATAGGTCAAAAATGGGTTTGTGCCGCAGGTGTTGAACGATCTACTCTACACAGGTGTGGGCTTACAGGGCTAGGGCTCATAAACCCTTTCTTTTATTCATCAATAGGGTCCTGGTCGGTCACTTTTCTGGGCCGGGATCGATAAGTGGAAGTCATAAAAAAGAGATATTTCTCTTCGTACCGCAATCAAGAGGAAAAGATTCGCTGTCTTTTCACCGTCTGTTCGTCTTTGTCAATGCTACGTTGGACCTAAAGGAAAAGGCGCTACTTAGCCCTACATTAGATTAATAGAAGTCAGCGGCAGAGTTAGCCTACTATACCCTACTAATTGTATTGTTATTGTATAGTAGGCGAGCGAGTTAGCGAAGACGCTTAGGCTAATAGATAAGAGAGTGTCAGTGCGTAGCCTTCATTCTACTACGCTACGCAAAGGTTACGAAGTCACTTAGCTGTTAGGAGAGTCAAGGGGGAACGACATACCTACATAGAAGAACCGTTGTTCGTTGACTTTCTAAGGTCTAACCTTTCGCTCCCCTACTGAAAAGGAGCAAAGCTGCTTCGCACCACTGATAGACTACTTCAGATTCAATTCAAAAGGTCCTACTTAGTTTCGTAAGCCTTTGTCATTGTCAGTCAATTAAGTAGGGCCTGAGCCCTCCTGCGAATCCGTCAAGCTAGGTCAGATTGGAGCAACCTTTTATGAGAACATATGACCCTTATTCGGGGACAAGGGGCAGAAGGACCTCTCAATCTACTTACAGCTGCCCAAGAAGAAAAACGTCGTCTAGGCATTCTCTCTTGCTCCGATCTCCCCTACGACTAGGACGTTGTCTGGGCCAAGAGCCATAGTTAGTTGTTGTTTCCATTTGCTTGTTTATTTTCTTGTTGTTGATACCGTCCAAGACCCAGCCAGATGATGTCCGCTGGTTGGTAGTGAGAGGACTCTTAGTACCTGCATACCCAAAAGAAAGGGGGCGCTGATTACATTCTACTTCCTGATTTTCTTGCTCTCCCTTAGTAGCGGGGAAGGAGTTCATCTATCTGCCTAGCTTTGGTAGATTTCCTCCAACGCAATCCACAGAAATCAAGGAATCCCTTGGTGGATAAGTCCGACGACTCAGCTACAGTGCAGAATTGAGTTTCTCGTCTAGTGGATCTGATCTTTAGGGGGCAATACATACCAAAAGGTTCGAAGAAGGAACGCGCAGAAGAGTATATAACCAACCCACCCTTATAACCTATTCACATTAGTTAGTGAAGCGGCTGGATGCATAAGGGAAGTGCACGTTTGTGAGACCTTAGTCGGGATGCATAAGGAAGTCAACCTACGAGCACGGAAGAGTGTGGTACCGCAGCCCCTCTCTAAGTAAAGGTCAAGTCTCTCTTGAAGAGAGAATGTAAGGAAATTGAAAGAAGCACAGACAAAGGGTCAAACGCGGTTGCTAGCATCAAAGAGAGTCGTCATAGACGAGAAAGTGGGAGTTTAGACTTGGCGAATGAGCTCTTGCCGTGGGAGAGGAAAGCGGTGCAGGAAAAATAACCATTGCGGTAGTTGATAGTGGAGCAAAGGCTGGATAAAAGATAGATAGGCATGCCTTATCATACAAAAGGATGTAGAAAGAGCAGGGTCAATCCCACATCTCATAGAGAGGAGGAATGGAATACCAGGGATGATAAGGAATAACTAACTCTACAGCTCACAGGAATAGAGTCATTCCACATTACTCCCGTTTTTTCATAACTTGATTTAAGAGAGAAAATGGGGAGTCAGGCTGAAATGGCTATATGGCTTCAAAATGCTTTTTGAAACGTATGTTGATTGAACTCATAGGTGCTGGGTGAGGGCTTAAAGACCCTAATTTACATAGCCTTCCTGGACACAAATTTTTCCTCGGGGAGGGCTTTCCTATCAAAAAAGAAATAGGGGATTCGGGCCTTTTTTTGGGGGATAGATAAAGGGCATAACATTGGGGTCAGTCACATTGTTGAATGTCTCGATCCCGATTTAGGGAAAGAACTTTTCCTTTGCTGGTCGAGGAAACCCATTCAAGCGCCGAGATGGAGATGGCTCCGCTGTGATAGAGGATGAAGGGGAATTCGTAGGCAACTGGTCGTTACTAGAAGATGAGAAAGATGTTGGCTTAATTGATTAGATTATTAGAACAACGAGGTGCAAGTGCTGGCTGCTCAATAGAGGGCTGCGACCCTTCGGACTCTGACTCCCCGCACGGGAGGCATAGGAAAAACCATTGGTGAAGAAGATCAAGAAGATGCTGATCCAATAGGCCTAAAATCAGGGGGAATAGCAGAACTCGTGCTCATGGAAGGTAAGAAAGAGGGACGGCGAGAACGAGAAGAAGGATCAAAACATCAAAAGCCTTTCTGAGCCCAGGCATGCCCCTTTAAGAAACAGAAGTTTGCTGCACGAGGTGCATCTGACGTACCTGGGCAGGTATATGAGTATAGCATAAAAGGATGGAATGAAAAGGCCCCCAACTAACATAGGGCCATTTACCTTACTAGATAGGGGGGGACACGGCTGTCAAAGATCAGATCAAGAGTCGTATCCATGATATGTGTTTATGCTTCCTTTCCTTTCTGCAACCCCATTTTATAGGTATATGGGCAGGAGAACTGATAATCAATTCCATGAGTGGTTGTAAACGGAGAGAAAGCTGATGAGACTCCCCCATCTTAGTCCAAAACTAGAATCCGATGACAAAAGAACCCATTTGCAACCTTAGCTTTAACAAAAAATGCCGAAAAGCACTGACCCCTATCTAGTAATAGTAAGGTTTGTGCTTAATTCATTCTTTTTTTATAACGAAATACATCCATCATCCATAAACGAGCTTCAAACTAACAACCCTTATGAATTAGTTCTAATTAAGAAAGGAATGCGATAACCAGAGAGAGAAGGCACGGGGGGCCCCATACATCAGAATGCCAAAGGGCAGAGGGAATTGAAACAAGAAGAAGATTGGAGTAGGTCTTGCCCGTGTTTGGCCAGCTGGCTGCTAAACCAAGAAGAGAATGAAGAACTAGCAAATGCAGGAAGCAATTTCAGGTGTGATAGTTTCTTCAATGTAGTCGAAGACCTAACAACCAACAATCAGACCTATAGTTGCCCTTAGTTGCCAAAGATCAGGAAGCTCTTTGTTATGAAGAAGCCACAAAGAAAGAAGAGGAGAATGATACATTCAGGTATAAAGCATATAGGTTGGGGCGGCACCCTAGAGCTATGACATTATGCGTGTGTAGATCCTTACACAGAGGAAGTCGGAGTCAAGATGGGATAGCTTTGGCGATCATCACAAAGTTGTCCAACCGATCCCATTTTTTGAGAGATTGACTTTAGGAACCAACATAGCATCATTGAGATGAAGAACATTTCCAGAACGAAATGATAAAGAAAGAGATTACCAATGTCTGAAATAGAGAGTGGGGTGGGGTCACCGGTGAAGACGACACTTTTTCCTTGGTACGGCGAGGATGAGACAAATGCTGCCGGATTGCTCGTCATATGATGGGTAGCCCTAGTGTAAATGTTAATTAATAAAAAACCATTGAGAAGCTTGGAAGATTAATGCATAATACCAGTTCTTTGATGCGAAGCAAAACGAGAGTTGTAATGCTGTGGACATACGAGAGCCATGTCTCCAGAGAGAATCCTAAGTATACATACCCAACCAAGTCAATTATAGATGAGAACCCAAGAAACTCTCATAGTATTGCTTGCTTCTTTTGTTGATAAGAAGACCGGTGCTTTAGGTTATGAAACTATGGCCACATAACTGACTTGATGATTATTTATAATATACTTCCCTCCCATAGATCTCTTGGGAAATTGATCTGCCATTGATCTTTGAATCGTTTCTGGGCACTGCACTTGAACCACTAATGCACGAACTGGCATTGTTGTTAGTCACACAGTTACACTTCCTGTGAGAGTAGCGTGGCAGGGAGCACACTTGATAGGAGATAGACACAGGCGGTAGAGAAAGAAAGAAAGAAAGAGGCAAGCCCCTAATTCTAAATAGAGTAGAGTGTGAGGGGGACCTTCCATTTCCAAGTACAATCCTCCGGCTCAAGGAATTCTGTTTTTCCACGAATCCTCGGAGCGCTACTTTCAATCAACCTCAAAGCCCTGCAAGGGATGTGAAGCCCTTCTCAATGTCTTCCACTCACCCAGCCAGGAGGGGGAATCCATTGATTTCATCCATTCCTGATGATGTGCCGCTGGCCTACCTATTCTCCTAATGCAACCCGGCGGGGCATTCCAATCCTATCTCAATATATGCTCCTCCAAGGCCTAAGGGTGGATTGAATCCAATCCCATCCAGCGCGGGTAGAGTTCACTCATCCGATAGCGAGAGGAAGATGAAGAATGAAGCTATAGTCGCTCGCCTTTCTGCTATCTGCCTTTAAATGATAGGGAGGCTTAAACATAAACAAAGAGCCCACCAACCCTTCTTTCGAGATCGAATTCTTTCTCTTTGCGCAAAGGTTTCTTTTTTCGGCCGATTCCACGTAGGGCTCTCTTGGAATTGGAAAGTCATCTGATCCCCTAGGAATTCACTTTCTACAGAACCTAAAAGGTGCCCCAAAATATTGAGCCAAAAGTAGGAGTCTTATATCAGTTTAGTACTCTCCTCGCTTTCTTCAACAGTAAGAGAAGGACGACTTACACCCTCCGGGGACAGGAAGCCTCTAAACCTTTATAACAGCAGATTCCATAGCAGCGGATTCCTTTTTTTCCTATTCTTACCTTCTTTGTGATTGCGCTTGAACTAATAGAAATAGAAGTAGGGGCCTATTGCTTTCTTTTCTCTTTCTCTTCCTATAGCGGATGCTAGGCGCTCTCAAGAGCTCTTATAGAGTCATATGAATGTGCAGCTCCTGAGAAAGAATAGGAAAGACTTGGTATAGAATCTGTGCCTTCGTTTTGGAGTTCATTAGGAAGCGAGTAAGGGAACCGTTCCTTCGGTTCAGTAAGGGAATACTACCAGCATTACAGGTATTCTAGTTCTGTCATTAAAACTCTTTTTCAAAACCGTTTTCGTCAAGGGCCATGATTTCCATTTAAGTAATACTTCTCAATCAGTTGAGTCTGCTAACTCGTTGGGAGAAAGAGAATGAAAGCTGCTCGAATCCTCCGATCCAAGGTCAAATTGGATTCTGGGTTCGGTCTATAGGGATCCTCGGCCTCAACCGAGACATCCACCAACTATGATAAGGAAATACCGTTGGTTAACTAGGTTCCCCTAACTTTCCCGCACCTGAAAGCAACTCTGCCAACCTGCCGAAGGGTTACTACAAGTGGTGTGATGAGATCTGTATTTCAACTTGGTTGATCATCGAGAAAGATATCCAAAAGGCTAAAGGAAGAACCAGTCACTTTATGTATGGAGAACTAGGATAGGAAGATCTCGACGTAAAGCTGGCACAACTCCGTGAAACTCGGGTTAGATAGATTCACTCTCACCACCCTGTCGGTACTGGCTTAAGGGTATTTCTAAAAAATCAGTAATTAGATTCTTCAGTTCGTCTAGTGTGCGCTCGAGCGGGAGTAAAAGAGAGGCATGATAAGTGGAATTGTCGTAGTCTTTCCTTACAAAGAAGACCGACTGATCGATCTAGCCATGCGTTCCTAATACGAATTCGTGCCTGCAGCCCTGCTAATCGACAGTTAGAATCATATCCTTTGAGGGCACCTAGTTCAAATAGGGTTCCCCCTTACATCAACTCATAGTGGTCAAAA